AGTCTGAATGAAAAGAGACTGTTAGTATTAGAAAAACAGAAATTAACAAGTATTGGCAAGGATATGGAAAAATTGGAACCCCCATACATTTCTGGTGGAAATGTAAAATGGTGCAGCCACTACGGACAACAGTTTGGCAGTTCCCAAAAAAGTTAAACCTAGAATTATCATGTTCTTGTTACATGCCATCAAGTCACCCCAACTCAGGGCGACCTCATGCACAACAGAATGAAAAAATGCCCAGTCCTGCACCATCTCCATGACTGGTCGGGGATTGGACCTTTGTGATTGGCTGATTTTTGGAAGTAGATCGCTTTCTTTCCTAGTCTTAGTCTGCAAGCCCTGCTGAAGCCTGTTCAACATCACAGCAACGTGCAAGCCTCCACTGACAGACAGGTTGTCGTTGCGAATGAGGTGCATTGGCTGTGAATTGAACCTGGGCTCCCTCATGGAAGGTGAGACTTTTACCACTGAGCCATTAATGTGCCCCATTAGAATTACCATATGGCTCAACAATCCCACTTCTGGGTGTATGCCCAAGATCCTTGAAAGCAGGGAGTCAAACAGATACCTGTTCACCAATGTTTATTGCAGCATTATTCGCAATAGCCAAAAGGTGGAGATAACCCATGTTTCCATCAATAGATGAATGGATAAATAAAATGTGATACATACAATGGACTATTATTCAGCCATAAAATGAAATGAAATTCTGGTACATGCTACAACATGAATGAACCTTGAAAACATTATGCTGAGTGAAATAAATACAAAAGAATAAATATTGTATGACCCTACTTATATAAAATACTTAAAACAGGCAAATGTTAGGCCCTGATAAAAACCTCAGATTTACAGTGGAGGTTTCAAAAGGACCAAGCTCTAGGAGTAAGTACCCTTCCCTAGGAGAAATGACCAAACCAAAGGCGTAAAATAAAACTCAAGTAGACCAGTTCCAACATCTAAAATTAACATTTGATGGATAAAGAGCAGCTGCCAGTACTCTAGCTGCCTGCCAAAAAAAAACTTAACCCTCTTTGAAGGAAGATAACAGCATATAGAGCCTCTATAATATTTTCATTTTCAATAACCAGCATCCAATCAAAATTACAAGACATTCCAAAAGACAGAGTCATATAATCAAAAACAAAGGAAAAACTTGAAAAATACCCACAGGAAATTCAAATATTGGAGTTATCAGACAGGGACTGTAAAATAATTATGTTTAATATGTTCAAGAAAATAGAAGAAAAGATGGATAATTTTACTGGAGACTTAGAATTTATTTTGCAAAAAGAATCAAATGGAGATTTTAGAACTAAGATTGTGAACAAAATTAAAAATTCAATATATTAATTTAATAGAAGATAAGCAGAACAATTAGTGAACTGAAAGAAAGACCAGTAGAAAATATTCAGACTTACACACAGAGGGAGAAAATGATGGACCTATAGAAAAGGGCTTAAGAATATATTGGACATTGAGAAAAAAGTCTAGCATTCTTGCAGCTTGTGTACCAGAAGGAGAAGAGACAGGAGTTTTTTAAAAGTACTGGCTGACAAATAACAGATTGGCCCATAAAATAAATAATATCACCCGTGAGTACTGTGCTCCTCAAAATAATCATCTAGATGAAACCAAATTGTTAACATTTACCCTAGACCAAAGACGAGAAGGCTGGGGGGACAGAGAAGTTAAATTAATGGAAAAAGAACAACCAAGATGGAAATAACAAGAATGTTGATGTATTGTGTAGAATGTAACTAACCAGTGTCACTGAACAATACGTATATATATTTAAAAAAGAAAAAAACCCAAAATCATTGCTGTCGAGTCGATTTCAACTCCTAGTAACCCTATTGGACAGAGCAGAACTGCCCCATAGGGTTTCCAAGGAGCGCCTGGTGGATTTGAACTGCCACCCGTTTGATTAGCAGCTGTAGCTTCTTAACCACTACACCACCAGGGTTTCCTAATAATATGTATAGAAGTTGTTAAATGAGAACCTAATTTCCTGTGTAAACTTTCACCAAAAACAATAAAATATTTAAAGAAAAAAAACACTGGCTGAGAATTTTTCAAGACTGATGAAAGACATCAAACCACGTATTCAGGAAGCACTACAAACTCCAAACCAAAAACCAAACCCATTGCCATCTAGTTAGTTCCAGCTCATACCAACTCCAGGCGAGATAAACAGAAAGAAGATCACTTCTGGCCACACGATAGTTGTTGTAGCTGTGTGCTGTCGAGTCAATTCCGATTCATAGCAGCCCCATAAGACAGAGTAGAACTGCCTTATAGGGTTTCCTAGGCTGTAATCTTTATGAGAGTAGATCACCAGGTCTTTTCTCCTACAGAGTCACTGGTGGGTTTGAACCACCAACCTTTCAGGTAGCAGCCGAGCACTTAACCATTGTGCCACCAGGGCTCCTTACATCGTAGTTAAACTGCTGAAAATTAAAGACAAAGAGAAAACTTTAAAGTAGCTAAAAGAAAAAAGACATTACTTATGAAGGCACAACAATTAGACTAACAACTGACTTTTTAACGGAATGTATGAAAGCCAGAAGACAATAGACCAACACTTTAAAGTACTGAAGGAAGAAGATTATGTCAAACAAGAATTCTATTCCCAGAGCGGGGATGGGAAATCCAATACATATCCTACAGCTCCCTGGGAAGTAAATATGTATGAACTTGGTCTCTGTATATGGGGATTAGATACCAGATGATTGCTAATGCTCTCCCTCAATATAAAGCTATTTTAACCAAAGGGAGATATGAAATTCTGAACTAGGAACCACTTACTGGAAGTGATTTGTTATATTTATGTCAACAATTAACAGTCTTAGAATAACACTGTCCAATAGAAATGCAATGCAAGACACAAATGTGAGCCATGTATATAATTTAAAATTTTCTGAGAGCTACATTTTTTAAAAGTAAAAGAAATAAATTAATTTTAGTGATATATTTTTATTTAACCCAATATACCCAAAATATTATCATTTCAACATGTAACCAATATAAAAATTGTTAATGAGAATTTTACAATTTTTGTACTATGTCTTTAAAATCTACAGCACATCTCAGTTTGGACTGCTTATATTTCAAATGCTTAATAGACCCATGCAGTTAGTGGCTACCATATTGGACAGCACAGCAAGGGATACACAAGACCTTACAGATCAACTAATTAGTGGTTCTCAACCCCAGCTCCCCATTAGAATGACCTGACCGAGACACTTTAAAAAATACAAGTGACCAGGCAGGGCTGGAATTAGGGTGAGGCAAGAGAGTTACTCCCCTCAGGCACAAAACTTAAGGGGGTGCCAAAAAACTCAGTAGTAAAGATAAATAATATTTTAATGCAATATTTTTAAAAATCAAAATTAATGCAAAGAATTCATAATAAACAAAATATCAAAATTTTAAATAAAAACAGAACCAGTATTACTGATTTTTTCCCCTTTGCCTCAGGCTCCAATATAGCTTTATATGGCACTGTGCCCAGGGCCAACTCCAGACTAATTGGTATTCCTGGAGGTAGAGCCCAGACATTACATTTTTTAAAGCTCCCAGATGATTCTAATGTGCAGCCAGCTTTGAGAACCACTCTTCTAGTCCCATGTCTCTCCTAATGCTCACAGTTCCTGATAAAGTGGGGAGTTGATGGGCGGTCATCATTCTGACATGTAATCTCGTACCAGATCCCCAGAACATAGTCTTCTTTGTAGACGTCCAGTGTTGGGGAGTTCCCAACTTCACAGGGCAGCCATTCCCACTGATGGACAACTCCAGTGTTAACGCATTTATTTTGAGAAAGCTAGTAAAAGATAATTTTCAAAAAAGTCATGCCTCTCCTACAGATATAAAGAAAAAAATGCATAATAAAGATTTTATTTGATAGAAGGAACCAGTCCTGTTTATAACCAATTCAAAAGAGAATCCCAAAACCAGACATCTTGATAGATCAAGAATATTGAAATGAACATGCAAATGGAGGCAAAACTGGTTTTCCCAGAAGGGATGGAGAGGAGGAAAATCAACAGAACCTCTGCAAGACTTGACAGAATTTGCTTGTCGACAGTTACCTGGTAGTGCCATGGTTAAGAGCGCAGCTGCTAACCAAAAAAGTCAACATTTCAACTCCCACCAGCCTCTCTTTGGAAACCCTATGGGGGCAGTTCTACTCTGTCCTATGGGGTCGCTATGAGTCAGGATTGACTTGATGGCAACAGGTTTTTTCCTTTTTTTTTACAGTTACCTGGAGTCCCTGGGTGATGCAAATGGTTAATTCACTTGGCTGCTAACCAAAAGGTTGCAAGTTCAAGTTGACCCAGAAGCAGCTCAGAAGAAAGGCCTGGAGATCTACTTCTGAAAAATCAGCCAATGAAAACCTTGTAGAGCACGGTTCTACTCTGACACACATGGGGTCGCCATGAGTTGGAATTAACTTGACAGCAACTAGTTACTGGTTATCAGCTTCTTACAACTTACAGAGTTGCAAAATAGCTCCCATAGAATCAGAATCTGATGAGGCAGTAGGGTGTGCTAGAGACAACACATAGTTTTACATTGAAGTACAAATGTTTTTTCCACGCAATAAATTGCTTCCAGGTTTTTTTTTACCCATTGCTTTGAAAGCAGTGGTTTTCAAATTTGATGTGCATGAGAATCATCTGTGAAGTGAGCTAAAAGGCAGATTCTTTTCCAAAGATTTTGAGCTTGGATCATGCCCATGAAAATGCCTTTTTAACAAGCACTCTAGATGATTCTGATGCAGGTGTTCTGAGGATCATACTTTGAAAAACACTGTCCTAGAACATATCTATTCCATATTCTGTAGACAGCCTTTCCAATTGTGCTCCTCACAATATTTGAAGGTAGTGTAGATTTTAATCCAAATCAGAATTCTGATGGTCTTAATATAGTCCATTTTCTTTATTATTTCCAGGATAAAATGCTATTTCTTTTCTCCCTACTCAATTTTACAGGACAGACAAGGAACAGTTTTTATATTATTTGAACACCTAAAGAGAGACAAGCTGGGAATGTTGTGAGTATGAAGTGTTTCTATGAGATGTAATAAGCTAATTGAATAGACTATAACAACCAACAAGAACACTGCTTCTCATGCATTTCAGTCAGCGTGCTGATTTATTGGAAGTCTATTTTGTTTTATTCAGATCTATAAGTATTTCAAAAAATTATTTTAGATCTGTAGATGGGGGTCCATGAATATAATTGATTAATTATCCAAAATTAACGGGTAAGATGTGATATGTTGTTTTAGCAACAGATTACACTCAAATGCATTTACATAAGCCATGACAACACATCTGACTGATAGGGCACCGCCCAGATGTCCTGGTTGTGGAGGGACAGTTGGCATTCTGACATGCTCAGAAGTGCTCGTGTGACTTGGCAAGCTGTCCTCCCAAATGGCAGCGTCTGTAGCCCCCTCCTCAGGTCCGGTTTCAGCTCTGACACAGTCTTCTGACGACACGTGTATGCTGAGCCGCGTCCTGTAGGCAACACTCAGGGGCTTCTTTACGCGCCCCGTTTCCTGCAAGTTTCTCTCCAGGGTATTTTGGAGAGCTAGCACAGTTGTTTCCTTATCTAGGCCTCAGAACTTCAGAGCCACAACCTTGAATTATCTCTTTATTTGATATCTTGGAAGATGGTTATTTGGTACCTTTAAGTCATCCTAACTTAGTGGGAAACCATTCTTGCCCTATATTTCTCTTCTGTACAACATCCACAGCAGAATTGAGAGAATGAAACAGAGGGAACGCTAACTGGGCAGAGGCAGAGTTCTGAGGCATGGGAGAGTGGTTTCTCAGGCATAGAGCAACTGGGCAAGAGGAAAACTGTCACAAGAGGGGATAGAAGAGACTGTTTCATGAACATTTCATCAAACCTACCTAACAGCGAGGTTGATTTGATGCTAAAGCCTACAGAATGAACAATTAGAATGGTGACCAAGAGCAACTCCCCCTGCTATTCCTACACGTGCACCCGAGGTTTCCAACAAGGGTCCCTTGACCTGCATGCTAGGGTCCGTGGTAGAAACAGTCCTATTGGTGCAGTCTCTACATGGTTATTGCTACTCACACAGCTACAGAGAGGGCAAGGTTGACATGGGCCTCCTGAAAGACTCTAAAGCCTTGTCTACTGGTTTACGTCACATCTTATTCTCACCCCTTACTGCAGTCGTAAATCCAGAGAACGTTAGAGAAGGGACGGACCTAGGAGATGAATCTATCTCATATCATAGATTAGGAAACTGAAGCTGAGAGAGTGGATGTGATTTGCCTGGGTCAAGCAGTGGGTTATCTCTCTCCTGATCCTGAATCCAGTGCTCTTTTCACTACACTACAAAGTCTATACTGAGTGGCCATCTTGTGTAGGGAACTCTATTATGTAAAACAGAGATTCTCAGGCTATTGTGAGCTGTGTCATTGCTAATTACTTTTTCTGAATATTAGATTAGACTCAAGATTATCCCTGTAATTCTTACTTGCATCTGGCTGTGCCTTCTTAAGTGTGAGATAAAAAGGTGGAATTATAGCTAGTGTATCAGAATTACACAGAGGCATGAACCTGGGAGGTTGGCAAGAGATTTAATAGGCAATGGCCAGGAGACAGCCTCTGTTCTCTAAAGCTCATGCTGAAAAAGAAAAGCTGAGCAAATACAAACTTTCATTCTTTGTGTTGCTTAATTTTGTCTGGAGTTTTAATGGGAGGTTTTTCATGAGATGAAATCTCTACCAGAAGGAACAGGTTGCCATTTGACATGCTCAGAAAAGTGCTCTGGAGATTTGGCAACGCGTCCTCCCAAGAGGCAGGGTCTGTAGCCCCCTCCTCAGGCCCCGTTTTGACTCTGACGCAGTCTTCTGAGGGTGTAGTACCCACACTGACTTTGTTTGGCTTTATTGCATTGGGGTCAGGTCGGCTGAAGAACAATCGATGTGGATCATTTCTTTAGGGCTTCAAGAGAGCTTTGTGGTTTGGCTTTGCAAGGATAACTTCATACTGACTCCACTTATTCAGGGCTATTTCTTGGCATAGTGGAATTTGAGGAGAAAGTTCAAGGAAGGGAAAATGAAGGAAATTCTAGAAATGAGTTAATTAACAGGGAAGGGGACTTAGAGTTCATCCAGCCTTTTGGTTCCCAACCTGAGGACAATGGACCCCGGGAGGCAGAGGAAGGGATGGCAAGAGGGGCAGGAATCCGTGTGTGTACCTAGCATTATATATATATGTATGTATATATATGTATATATATATATGTATGTATATATATGTATATATTATGTATATATATGTAAAGGAGTTTGTATATATATGTATACACTTAAAATATAGTATCTTGTAAAAATGAGTCTCAATCCTTAGTATATCTAAGAATCACCTGGGGAGCTTGGTGAAACTACACATTCCTGGACCCCTAACCCAAAGATTCTGATTTTGTTGATCTTGAGAAGGAACCCAGGAATTAGCTGTTTTAAAAAGCACTCAGGGTCTAATACATACTGACCCTATGGCAATAAAATACAAATCACTTAAAAGGATTACTGACTCTGAAATTGCGCTTGGCCATTACTTATTTTTGTAAAAGAGGAGATACTAATGTTCAGCAGCTCTGAGGGGTAAAAGTGAGCAGTCCTTGAATTTTGGGGATGCAACTCAAAAGGTTTGGACACCCTGATCTAGTTGAATTTCTTCATTTCAGAAATGAAGATTCAGAGTACTTAAGTAACTTCCCCAAAGTCACACAGTCAGTGTCAAGGCAAAGAGCCCTGGTCTCCTGTGTCAGAATCTGGGAAGCTTTCCTCTCCCTGCCCCGATCCAAGGGAAAGCCCCATCAAACTGAAAGGCAGCCATTCCAAAAGGGTCAAAGCCTTAGCAGTTAACCTGACTTTTTCACAGGTAACAATGGGAAAGAAATCATGTCAAAGTTTAATCAGTTGCCTCAAGGTCAGTCATTTAATCTTTTTTTTTTTCTCTGCTAGACAAAGTTCAAAAAATAGCTAGAAAAAATACCCTGGAGTCTTATTACGAAGTTAAAATGTACAACAGTCTCGTTGTTGGGGATTGTTCACCGACCACAGTATAATTCTACAGAATGGTTTGGAAGTCATCTCTGAAATCTTCTTGAAGGAGTGTTTGGGTTTATAAAGCGCTGTTCATAAATGGGGTACATTCTCCTCTGAACACAAGTGGGAGCAGAAGTCACTTGTACAAACATCAGGAGTCACTTGTATACATGAAATACAAAATAACCCACAGGCAGAACTCTCCAGAATACAGAGGTACAAATGTCTCTGTAGACAAGGAAATTGTTAGGCATGAATTAAATTTAGCAACAATTCTCTTAAACTAATTTAAACGATTTTTAAAATGAGCTAACACTACTGTCCTAGCTCGGTGGTTGTCTTTTGCTAGGCATGACTGAACCTATTATTCTGCTAAGTTGATTAATAAAAAATATTTATTACGCAAATCCTTTTTGTTGACAAGTTAAAATGGAGCCTCATCTTTCATATCTCCCTGAAGATTGCCACCTTGTGAGATTGAAAATACTCATTAAATTCCATCACCAGACAGGCACAAATGAGAGGGTGATTGTTTTTAAACATGTGAGGGGAATCGTTGGTAAACTCATTTGTTTGGATATCATTAACAGAACAATCGGCGAGGATCTCCAGGGGGTCCTCGTGACCTTTGCTCGCAATCTCTTCATCATCCATCAAGAAATATCATCACCTAATATGCAAGGCGAGACCAATTTTAAGGTGAGGTGTTAATTAACTAACGATCCTGGTTAATTTCTATACAAGAGCTGAAAATACCTCATGCTGTATTGTAAACAAGTACTAAACCATCTTTTTTTATTGTAAGCAGTACATATTTTACAATGTGCAGGGTCAATATTGTAAGGTTCCCACTGAACCCGTTAGTTAAATTTAATAGTTTGAAACTTTTTCTTTGAAATAAAGTAGACTTGCTTTAACTTGCTGCCATTTCCAAACCCAAGCTCACAAGACAACAGAGGTTTCTGATGTTGCAGGAAGCAGAAACACCACAATGGAACCAAAATAGAGACTGTCACAACCAGAAATTATCAATGTAACCTACCTATATTTCAGATATACAATGTTTGCCTTGGGATTCCTAGGGAGTCCCAGTTTCTGAGACCCAAGAAAGAAGTAGGAGAAAACCCCAGAGCAGATGTTTTATTGCTAACCTTTTGGAGCCCTGGTGGTACAGTGGTTAAGAGCTACGGCTACTAACCAAAAGGTCAGCAGTTCGAATCCACCAGCCACTCCTTGGAAACCCTGAGGCATTTCTACTCTGTCCTGTAGGGTCACTATGAGTCAGAATCGACTCGTCGGCAATGGATTTTTTGGTTTTTTGAAGCTTCCAGATGGCCTTTATTGATGCTGGCCAGTGAAATCCAGTTGTATGTTTCCTAGTTAGATACTAGAAGTCTCTGATCTCTATAGAACAGAAGCAAGATCTATTCCAGAGTTTTTGAAACAGCAACTGAACAGAGATGAACACTTGTTATTGATCACCAAGGTCTGCATCGGATTCCCAGCCTAGACCTTCATCACATTTGAATGGGTCAAGTAACTCAGAGCACTCAACCTGAAACCACGTGTGATTTTTCTCTTAAATGAAAAAGCCTAACAAAAACTGGATTAAAATATAATTTTTGAATTTTTATCTTGAATCGGGGCCCGATCCCTTTAGTAACAATAATAACAATAACAATACTTTACTCTTTAAAGTGATTTTATGACCTGGTAGAATGACCATTGCTTTTCCCACAACATGATTGAGAAATTTAAAAAAAAAAAAAAAAAAAAAAGGACCTAGTGTAGCATCAACTTCCACTGATCCTGACAGACCTGTGTTCATCATTTGTATTCTAAGTCCCTGCCAGCTAGCATCATTTAATCTTTTACTGCCATGTGCGAGATTGTGAGCCTCTCTACATTGATCAGTTCAGCCTGTCCAAATACAGTTAATAGTCAGGATCAGATGGTTTATCCCAATATTCGTGAAGACTAAGTAGACTCTGAGCTAGGACTTGAGGTTGGCCAAACCAGCAACCCTTGACAAAATAAAGACTGTTTCTCTGCCCTTTCTCTGGATTTCAAAATCATCAAAATCCAGATGTCCTCAGGTAGTTTTTAAATAACTCATAGTTTCTAACCTTCTTAGATGAATCACTGTTATTTTGGCTTTTATTCTTGTTAGAAGGTATATAAAATCTAAAAATGTAAATCTCAGTAATATAGGAATAATAACAATAACTTGAGAAGTGTAATAGTTTTATCTTTGGTAGTATTTTCTGCCTACTGCATAAGGGCATCCTAATAGATATCTTCATTTTGTAAACAAGAACTTACCAGCAAAGTAAAGCCTGAACTTAAAATGGAAAGGAGATATAGAAAAGACATTTGACAAAATCCAACATCCTTTCATGATAAAAACACTAATAAACTGGGAATAGAAGGGAACTTAGACCACCTGATAAAGACATCTACAAAAACCCCACAGCTAACATCATACTTAATGGTACACAACTGAAAGCTTTCCGCCTAAGATCAGGAACAAGACAAGGATATCTCTTCTAGCCACTTCTATTCAACATTATACTGGGGGTCTAGCCGGGGCAATTAAGCAAGATAAGGAAATAAAAGGCATTTAGATTAGAAAGGAAGTATAACTATCTCTATTAGTAGATGATATGATCTTGTATATAGAACATTCTAAAGAATCCATGAAAAATATATTCAAGCTAATAAACAAGTTCAGCAAGGTTGCAGGTCACAAGATCAATATACAAAAAATAATTGTATTTTTGTACACTAACAATGAACAAACCAAAAATGAAATTAAGAAAACAATTCCATTTACAATAGCATCCAAAAGATTAAAATACTTAGGAATGAATTTAACAAAAGCACAAAGCTTGTACACTAAAAACTACAGAACATTGTTAAAAGAAATTTAAAAAGACCTAAATAAGTGGAAAATACCCCGTGTTCATGGATTGGAAGACTTAATATCATTAAGATGGCAATAATACCCAAAGTGATCTATACATTCACTGCAATCCCTATCAAAATCCCAAAGGCCTCATTTGCAGAAATTAAAAAGCCAATCCCCAAATTCATGTGGAATTGCAAGGAGTCCAAAATGGCCAAAATAATTTTGAAAAGGAAGAACAAAGTTGGAAGACTCACACATCTTGATTTCAAAACTTACTACAAAGCTATAGTAATCAAGTCTGTATGATACTGGCATAAGAATAGACATACAGATCAATGAAATAGAATTCAAAGTCTAGAAATAAGCCCATATATTGATAGTCAATTGATTTTTCTGAAGTGTGACAATTCAATGAGGAAATAACAGACTTTTTAACAAATGATGCTAGGACAACTGGATATCCACTTGCAAAAGAATGAAGTTGGAGCCCTACCTCACACACACACACAAATTAACTCAAAATGGATCAAAGACCTAAATGTAAAAACTAAAATTATAAACCTCTTAAAAGAAACCATAGGTATAAATCTTCATGATCTTGGATTAGGCAATGGTTTCTTAGATAAAATACCTAAAACACAAGCAACCAAAAAATATGTAGAAAACTTGGATATCATCAAAATTAAAAACTCCTGTGCATCAAAAGACACTATCAAGAAAGTGAAAAGACAACCCACAGAATGGGAGAAAATATTTGCAAATCATGTATCTGATAAGGGTATAGTTTCCAGAATATATAAAACACTCTTAGAACTCAACAATAAAAAGACAAACAGCCCAACTAAAAAATGAGTAAAAGATTTGAATAGACATTTCTTTGAAAAAGATATAAATGGCCAATAAGCACACAAAGAAACTCCCAACATCGTTAATACTTAGGGACATGCAAATCAAAACCACAATGAAATACCACTTGTTGTGTGCTGTCAAGTCGATTCCAACTCATAGGGACACTATAGGACAGAGAAGGACTGCCCCCTAGGTTTTCTAGGTTGAAATCTTTACAGGAGCAGATTGCCAGGTCTTTCCTCCCATGGAGCAGCTGGTGGGTTAAAACCACTGACCTTTTGGTTAGCAGCCAAGCGCTAAACCATTGTGCCTCCAGGGCTCCTGAAATACTACTTAACACCCAGTAAAATGGCTACAGTCAAAAAGACAGACAATAAAAAGTGTTGGCAAGGATGTGGAGAAACTGGAAACCCCATCATTGCTAGTGAGAATGTAAAATGGTGTAGCTGCTGTGTAAAAGGTTGGCAGTTTCTCAAAAAGTTAAATGTAGACTTGATATATGACCCAGCAATTCCATGCCCAGAGAAATGAAAACATATGTTCACACAAAAACTTTTACATGAATGTTCATAGAAGCATTATTCATAATAGCCAAAAAGTGGTAAATAACTCAAATGTCAATCAGCTGATGAATGGATAACCAAATATGTTATATCCGTACGATGGAATATTATTCAGCCATACAAAGGAATGAAGTTCTGACACATGCTACAACATGGATGAGCCTGGAAAGCACGGTGCTAAATTAAATAAGTGAGGTACAAAAGACTAATAGTATATGATTCCATTTATACAGAATGTCCAGAATAGGCAAGTCCATAGACACAGAAAGTAGACTAGTGGTTGCCAGGGGCTGGTGGGAGGAGTGAATGGGGAATGACTGTTAGTAGGTACATAGTTTCTTTCTGGGGTGATGGAAATGTTCTGGAATTAGATGGTGGTGATGGTTGCTTGTGAATATACTAAAACCCACTGAGTTGTACACTTTATGAAGATGAATTTTATAGTATGTGAATTATACCTCAATAAAAATATATATAAAATAAAATAGAAAGGTACCATTTTTCTCTCCACAAACCAATGGAAATAAGCACTGCCATCAACCCTCATTTTAGGTTGACTAGACCAGTGCTTCTCAAATTACCTGTAATGAAGGACCAGTTTGTTTTATTTTTTCCAATCTATTATGGATCTATACTTTTGTAAAGTACGACAAAAATGAGTTAATAGAAAAATGAAGAAATCAAAGTCGTACGGAATAAAAGCCAAATTTTTTTCTTCTTAGATTCAACAGGCATAAAAATTGCTATAAAATTTTCCAAATTCTTACTCTCAGTCTTTTTACTTGTTTCATCAAGCTGGTAACCAACAGTTTGAGACTGGCACCAGTTGGAGGAACACACTTTGAGTGGAACTGCTCCATAGGATTTCAGGGCTGTGACCTTTGGGAAGCAGATACCCAGCCCTGTCTTCTAAGGTGCCTGTGGGTGGGTTTAAACTGCCAGCCTTTCAGCTAGTAGTCCAGTGCTTAACTATTTGTGCCACCCAGGGACTCTTAGAACTGGTCTAAAACCAAAAACCCATTGCTGTCAAGTCGATTCCAACTCATAGCGACCCTATAGAACAGAGCAGAACTGTCCTATAGGGTTTCCAAGGAGCGGCTGGTAGATTCAAACTGCCAACTTTTTGGTTAGCAGCCGTAGCTCTTAACCACTATGCCACACTTAATTCCAAAAAGGAGCAAATGCTTGGAGGGTGGGGAATGTTGTAAGAGGTCCTAAGTAATGAATATTAATTTTATTGTTCATTTGCAGACCACCATTGGCGATGTTGAAACCATTCTGGGAGTAACAGAGGAAAACAAAATAAGATTTGAGGAACAGCAACAGTCTAAAGATAGTAGAAACCTCTCTAAGCCTGATAAATGATCCTGGGATATGGTATCGATTTTGGATCCCAGTCTGGAGGGGAAAAAAAAAAAAAGCAACAATCTTTTTTGCTGTTGGGAATAAAAAGGGGGAAAAGTTAGTTTGCTTTGTTTGCCAGAAGGTAAATCAAAACTTGGTAAGATGATAATGTAATGCTTTTTTTTGAAAAAAAAAAAAATTGTTTATTAAGTGATCTTGTTTTACTTATTAAACCAAAACCGATTTGTGCATTCACTTGAGAGTGTTGAACAGTCCTTTTCTCTCCCCTCACCCAGGAAAAAGACGAAAACAAAACCAATAAAAGAAGAAAGCTACAATTCTTCCTGATATCACTTCTGCATCTACCTCTTTATAAGCTTCAGGATTTCACAACTTTTATTTTTTATGTTTTATAAAGTTTTCTCTTATTTCTGATAGTCATTTATCTTCTGCGTTTAAAAAAATTGAATAAAGGCTTAATCTTTGCTATTTGGCAAAACACAAATGTATTTTTTCCGAGAAAATTAATTTATGTGAAATTTTAAAGCAATCCTTTCTCATTCATTGTATTTTTGTTGTGCCAAAGCACTATTGTTTGTTGTTACTATTTTTCAAAAAGTAGAGTAAGCCAACACCTAGTTAACCAACGCATCAGAATGTATCTAGGTGGCAGCATCTGCTGTTAGTTTAAGATACAGTGTAATTCCAGCCCTCTAGCTTGAAGAAACATTTGTCTTCTCTAGTTCTCCATCGAATACAGCAGTAAGATTTTTACAAGCTTAATTCAGCAGTACCATTTAAAGAGAAACGTGTTAAAATTATGCAGTGCTGACAATAACTCTCAGTTTGCTTCAGTACTTGTCCAAAAATATGTCTACAGCAGCCAGCTTTACAGAAAGGTAAAATATGCAAGTCTCAACAGCAAAGTCACTTAGTTGTTTTAAAGAATGGCCTTTATATTTTTACAAAAATATTTGTGTGATGGGGCGAGGAGGGCGTTCTTCACCCATGGATGTCGATCGTTTCCATAGGCAAAGCATTTCTGCAATGAAATTAAGCCAGCATTTTTTGTGCATCAGCTTTTGTTTTGCTATCATTGGAAATACGTTAATTAGCCAGGTTTCCTGCCTGTGCTAGGTACAACAATGACCTCTTTTTCTTGCCAGATCGCTCTAATCCATATGAGGGGCCCATTGTCCAGACACTTGACGGATAGGAAGTGCTACATGCCCATTAGAGTTGCGCCTCGATTGAAGCCAGAGCAACATAAGGTCCAAGAGACTCATTAGTTCACTGGCACGATCGTGTCCTGAGAGTAAATGAAACCCTCTGTCTCCTTATGGCTCTCATCTGCTCTGGACTTTAAAAGAAAACTGTCTCTGTTTTGTTCAGCACAGCAGTGGCTTCATTCACGTGGAGGAGAAACCCATCTTCACGGTACAAAACTGTTAAATCTATTGGGGAAGTTTTATATGTGCATTTTGATTAGTACTCCTGAGCCTCAAGCTGCTGGCAATAGGAAACTGAGTTCCCTCTCCTGTACCTTTTCTTACCCACCAAACACTGCCGCTTTCCTCCTTGGCGTCTGTCATTAGCATACACCACAGATTGCCAGTTTCCAAACTCAGGCCATATATTCAGACTCAAGTCTCACTAGGAAGTGATTAGGAGTAGGGTTCTCTACCTAAAAAGCGACAGTGCCAAAATGATAGAGAAAAATTGGTATAATCAAACAATCCCTTCAAGTAATTAAGTGGAGGAAGCCAGAGGACCAGATTAAATTAGTGAAATGTTTTAATTACAGAACATTTGAGAAGAAGTATAGTCCCTTGTCTTGTAGCACAATATGTTACAAAGATACTCTGCTATCGATAAATTAAGGTAAGTTTGAAAAACATAATTTATATGTGTATAATATCTGAAGTATCCCAAACATAAATTAGTCGAGGTAAATGACTGAGCTTTGAGCTGTTCTAAATGGACAAGTGAAATCTTGGTTGGGAAGAGGATTCTTTGAAAATGATGTCCATTTTTCAGCAAGTTTTAAAAAGAAGCCACAGTTAATAGTAGAGCTGTCTTTATGTAAGAAATGCCCCTTTGCTTAATATTGAATATTTGCAATGCTTGGAGAAACAAATCATACTAACCATTTAGGAGCACATTATCGGATATGGTGTTACCCATTTTATACTGATTTTGAAGAACCCATATAGATGATGATATTAAATGTAGTTCTACTGGTAACCTGTGCTGTCTACCTACTTACCTACCCTCCACGATCTGCTTGTATTTCTCCTTTATTGATCGCTTCTAAGGGCTAGATGTGGACTGTGCTAGAAAGCTTTGTGTACATACTTTATTTTCCCAACAATCCCACGTGGGTAGATGTAGCTACTACTGTTTTCATTTTACATGTGAGAAAATATCTCACCCCATATCTCAGAGCTAAACGAAAAGAAATTTGGGATTTATACTCTTATCACAAATTCTAGCATGTTGTGTAAAATACAAAGGTTCAGTTCCACTTGCCTTAGGTCATATAAGGGATTTTTCCCTTTTTTTTTTTTTATAACAAACTCTAGTGTGTTGTTTAAAGTATAAAGGGATACTTTAAATTACATATACTTCCTGACTAATAAAATAAACACGTACAGTTGACAACAGCATCCTAATTGTGTGGTCAAAGAAAGCAGAAGAGAAAGTGGTGTCGGGAAATTCTCCTCTGGTGATGGATCTGTAAGACTCTTGTGGAGGACTGATGGGAAGACCTAGGAGAGTCTGGAAGTTGAGACGTTATGCTCCACAGTCTTATTTGAGAGATGGGCGTGAGGTCAAGAGACGGTGGAAGAGTTAGGAAAGGGCTTCCCACCAGATGTAGAAAAACCTGGGAGGAGCTGGGGGAGCATTATTTCAATTATGCAGTCCTAAGGATTACAAACATCCTGATTTTCAAGTATAAAAATATGTATTTTATCATAAGTAATATGTTAGTAACTATCCAATCGCTTTAACAATGATCATTTGTATTCATCTGGCACCTTTCTTCTAAAGAGCTCAAAGCACTTCACATTTGTTATCTCATTAATTCCCAACACTGTCCCTGTGGGCAAGGTAATAAGTATTTTAACATTTAAATGTTTATCTTTCAGAATTTCTCAAGCATACATTAATTATATTTCCAAAAAATGTAAATGTTCATTAGTTTTATTTTACTGTTCCTCTGGCTTTAATGTGCATAACAAATTCGTTCAACTGTTTAAATGTACTAATCATAGTCAATCTTTAGAAACTATAAATTAAGTTGCCAAGACAATGTTGAGGATGGAGGTGGGGGTGAAGATGCATTTGACATTTCTTTTCTCATTCAAAGAAGTTTGGTCCAATTCGTTGGAAACGCAGATGAAATGTCCCTTGGCTTCTCAGTATCTTTTCTTTATCTCCTTCCTTCCAAAACGTTGGCGGGTGGGGGGCGGTTAAAGACTGTATCTAAAATCCTGAGGCTCACTGAGGTACTATTTACAGCTTTGCTTTGTTGATGATTTTGTCAATGTGGAACAGAAAACTAATGCATTCTGTTAGGAGTTATATCCCAAAGAACCATAGGAATAAAGGGCACAAACTTGCCTCCCCAGCCCGCCCTCTCTCTGGTCTGGTCATACCTTCCTCCATTTTCTAATGAGCAAAATGGCAGAGCGTAATACCTGCTCCTCAGGGAAGCAGTGGAGATGAATTGGCCAAAGTTGGGAGAATGTTTCAAAGATGAAGCGTTCTACATAAATGTTTAAGTATTGCCACTTCAAATGGAAGTTCTAACTTTGAAATGTGATTATACACTTTAAAAAAAAAACACTTCATAAACACATATATAGGTTTATTTTTCACTCTAACAGTCTAACTCATGGTTGTGAGACTTTATTGCACTTGATGGAGGGCTGTGGCTTTTATTAGTTTTAAACTGCTGGTTTCTGGAGTATTTATGTAAATGAGGGAAAGATACCAAAACAGTAAATAATAAGCATGTCCCTGCTGTTTAAAAATCTGTTCATAAAAACAACTTTTGTTTTGTTATAAGAAGACCCTAAACATAGCACAGGAAAATACAGCTTTGGCATTTATGCATAAAAGAGTTGTTTGGGTTTCTTTATTTTTTTTTCCCAAGCATTTCTTTACCATTTTGTTCCATTGCCACAATTTTCATATATATATAAAATCATATATGTGTTTCAGAGAGAGAAAGAGACAAAAGAGTAAAATACTACATTTTAAGAATTTTTTATTTAACAAACTGTTATAAAGTATACCAGATGGCTAATTATAGCTCCCGGAAACAAAAGGCCACATCTAAGTTTATTATAGTTGCCTCACAGTGAATGTTATGATGAAATCATGGTCCCATAAACTTGACAACAAAACAGAAGATCTTCTATTGATTGCAAAATACACAAATTCAAATTGCAATTCTGGTTCATTTAAAGATTCAGGCCGCTTTGCTTCGCAGCAGAGGACACAAGATACTTACTTTGCAATCACTGAGAAACTCAAACTTATCTTGGAAGGCACTCTTTATTCCTGGGCTTCTTTAGAATGCTTTTCCTCTCTTTTTTTTTTTTTTTTTTTTTGGTTTTATTCTTTTTCAGTGAAACATCTCCAGCCACATTCCTAAGCCAAAAAAAAAAAATTAGATCATTTGCAACAACAGTGAAAAATTAGAAAAAATCTAAATATTCAACAATAGGCCATTGCTGTGTGGAGCAGGTACATAGAGGACCTCCACATGAACGGGACCTCGCCATTGCTGTATGGAGCAGGTACATAGAGGACCTCCCCATGAACGGGACCTCCCAGATGGCAACTTCGTTCGTTTGTTTGTGGCGTAGGGGCAGTAGTGGTTCAGCAGGAGAATTCCCGCCTTCCACGCTGGAGACCAGGGTTGGATTCCCAGGAAGGCACCTTATGCACAGCCACCACCCATCTGTCAGTGGAGACTGTGTTGCTCTGATGCTGAACAGGTTTTAGCGGAG